GGATGTCTACCTGCTGACCAGCTCGTTTATAGACATCAAGGGCTTTAACTGCTTCATGTCTTGGCATCTCAAAAAACTGCAGCAAAAACGGATTTGAGAAACATATAGCCATTGGTAACAAAGTACTAGCTTGAATGATATAATATATTTACCTTATCAACAAGATTTATGATTCCATCATTAATGGAACAATAAATTTTAAAGCTCTCTTTCAATACCTGAAAGTAGAGACTCAAAAGGTCAGATATGAAATATAGCCTTTATCTGTTATTTGTTAAACTGACTTTAATAGTATAAGGATTAAAGCTTGCTTTCAGCACTTGATACTCCATTTATAATTTAAACAACATTGTCATATGTGAGAGAAAACAAAACTAAAATGAAGATGTGGGACATACCAGGGCCAGAGCATACTGTATAACGTAATTGATGGAAGCTGCTCCTTCTGGCTGCAAATTTAGAAGCAAAATCAATCATTTTGCACAAATGTATAAAACTGTTGTAATATTCTCTCTATTTATAACTTTACAGAGATATAATAATGTATCACGAAATGAATATTTCATAATTTATACACATGTTTGAGTGCAACAGATAAACCACAGGTTCCAATTATGTTACCCGGCAACCAATAAGACGATACAGAAGCTGCTGTAAGGCAGGCAATTGCTCCAACAGTTCTTCACTATCCAGTTCTCGGGTTCTACTATATCCCTGTTAGTAGTTAAACGCATGAAAGAAAAGATTGTGACTCCTCATAAAATAATAACTTATGTTTGAGGAAAAAGAAAGCATCTTTATCACCAAACCCTAACTAGTAATGAACCATGAAGATTTGGTAAAGTACCTTCTCCTGGCCCTGGGCAGGCCTTGGAAGACGTTCAGCTTCAATGTCATACTTCAGAACCCTAAAGCATTCGAGCCGTTCCTCCAAAAACAATGCATAAGTACGCACCCAGGCAGAGCAATCCCAAGCTGAGAAGAGGAAAAGGCAAACAGAAGGGAATATTATTTATCTTTATGTTACAGATGTGTTTGTTTTTCTTCAATTTTGAGTTCAAAATCAATGTCATAATTTCAATCAACTAATAGCTAGTAATGACAATTGACATGCAAAAGACGAGAGAGAATTCAAGAGATTTAAGGCATTTGAAATTCACCAATGGGGCTGGATTCGTCTTTGAAATTAGAAAGCTGGAGAATTCGTCCCCTCTGCGAGAAATTTAGAAGTTCTTCTCTGAAAGTAGGATCGCCCTCCCTCAAGGTCCTATGGATGACTATCAATGTTTTTAAAGCTACCTGCCAATCTCAAACGCGAAAATAATACAATCTAAGTTTAACAGAAATCAAAACATATGTGTACATATTACATACGCATATTAATCCATAAGAAAAATGATGAGCCATATACAGCCAAAAGAAAACAATCAAATAAGTGTTGCATCATACAACGTAAACTGAGACAAAATTGAACCAGACCAGTAGAAGATCACTGATTTCACTTCAAAATAGTTAAAAACACATAAACTTACTTTGTTTGGGCATCAAAAGAAATCCTTTGCACAAAAAGATCAAAAAGAGGCATCTAGTGGAACAAATCGAAAAATGAAGAACATTTACGTAGGAACCTAATGTCAGTATTTCACTGTACTGTTATTGAGTAACACCACAATACTTTGAGTGATTAACTTAGACACATTTACACGGTTTATTAAAGCAACCAACTGTATTTCCAAGCAAACTCAAATGATATAGTAGGCATGGTAAACAACAATATTAAGCAAACCCCACTTGAAATTCAAGGGAAATAGGTACAAATTAAGTCCAATAACCATCCAATACAAAATCGAAATTAAAATGTATGGCATTGCAAATTTGCAATTGAATGGGGAAGCACGGCATACCGTCCAATTATGGGTCTTGCTTAATCTTCTTGAAAGAGCATGAATGCAATAAGCAACATCCGCCCGCGGTCGCATTGACGATGTGGCAATCAGAATCTCTGCATCCAACAAAACAGCCCCAAATGTAAAAATCACATCTTTGGATCAAAATCCAACCACCCATTTGATAAAACAACGGATCTGAAAAATCTGAAAAATTAGAAACTGACTTCTGAGGTGTCTCTCTTTGGGCGGGCACTCGACGTGGTTGGTGGCTTTGACTATCGCAACATCCAAATCCTATTCTTAGAAAACAAACCCAAATCCAAAAATCAAAATCCAATTCCTCGGATTACCAAAATCTAATCTTTATGTTTTTGCTTCTAATTAATTAAATCAACGGAGATTAAAGAAAAGGAAAGGAATTGGCACCGCGTAATCGCTGTTGACGTGGGCAAGGCCGACTTTGGTGGAGTCTTTGAGAGCGCCGTAGGCTTTCCTCCACGTCTGAAGCGTCCCCATTTCTCTCTGCTGCTTCTTCTTCTGGACCACCCCAATTCCTCCACCGCTCAGATCGCTCTCTCTCTCTCTCTCTCTCTCACTACCACTTTCTCTCTCTAGAATAAGACACAGTGACCTGGCTTGCAGACCTTGTTTCTCTCTCTTCTCTCTCTGTGGCTCCGATGGGTTGGAGGAAGAGAGAGGAAAGCGAAGGACTTTGAAGAAATTATGCGAAGAGAAAAGAAAGAGAAGAACTCAAGAACGACAGACTGCGAAGCAGAAACAATGAAACGGTGTCGTTGTGAATTCGATTTTCCGTTTTTATTTCATTTTTTCCTGAGGTGAGTAGTCACTTTTTTTTTATTTAATTTTTTTTTTTTGCTCGAATTTAATTATTATTTATTGGTTGGAAATTATGAAATTATGACCTGCTTTTGGTGTGCGTCATATCACACATATAATATGATTAATGTCCCACGTTCACCACCATTACAAGCAAGGAACATATCCTCCTCCGAGTCTCGTAGGACACGGTCACAAAACTACCTAATTCCACCATATATCGTAAAGAATACTTCGTTTTGAGAATTTATGAATATCAAATTCATATTAATCATAAGATTATACTATTGTTTACCTCCTTAATTCCATAATCACGATGATTTTCTTCATTTTAAACTGTGCTGCTTCATTAAGTTGTCAAATATTTTAAGATTTTAGATTCTAAACTAATATGATCGTATCACTGATATAAATTTGATCCTTACAAAAGAACTTTATACTATTGTTTTCCTCCTTAATTCCATAATCACGATGGTTTTCTTCATTTTAAGTTGTGATGCTTCATTACGTTGTCAAATATTTTAATATTTTAGATTCTAAACTAATATGATCGTATCATTGATATGAATTTGATCCTTACAGATGAAGAACTTAAGAAAGTAGAATTGTGTAAAGAATTTTATTAAAAAAAATAGATATTCGTATACTGCACGTTCAGTTTAATAGACTTTTGGGCTTTGTTTTCAAAGATTCTGCATCCAGAAGTTTAGGACTGTTGAACAGAAAATTATCCAGTAAACAAAAAAATATTTGACCAAAAAAATACTCAGGCAACAATTTGATTTTTTCTATGTCAAAAGAAGAAGAAATGTTAATAACTGTATTAGGTATAAGCGTGTCCTGCCGCTTGCCCCCAAATCCGAATATTTCTTTCCGTAAATTGAAGCCGTTTAGAATATCGCATTGTAAAATACAGAGCGAGAGCAATTGTAATGGAAGTAGAATTTAAGTGACAAGTTTACATGATGAGGTCATCAAGAAGTGGAGAGTTGAGCTTGATGGCCCCAGCGGCCACTAAGAGTGAGAAACTCCAGATTGGTAGTAACCAGAAGAACACAAACTTGAGAACGTTTTTGCCTGCAGCAGCAAGCAAACACACAAAAACCAATACACATATAAGTTCATCAATGATTTACAAGGTTGCAGCTAGTAGCAAATCATGCACAAATCAACAAGCAATCACATTTTATCAATGGCGGGCGGGATTCATGAATTCAGGACAATAATAACAATAATAATCAAGCCTTGTTCCACTAAGTGAGATCGGTTGTATGAATACACTGCATTCAATTTTGCGCCTCTACTAGTTATATCGGCAGATAAAATATAGTTCACTCTAATTGATAGATAGCTGCATTTGGTAATTCACATCACACCCTTCATTTTGTGATGGCTATCTATTTTTCGACAGAAACAAACTGAAAGAAAACGAATATTACCATTTAAACGGAAACTCTTTTCAGTTTTATCGGTCACCCACTCTCCGGCCTCGCGGAGCTTCTTCTCCACCGGCCCTTCAAACTTGCTAGCAAAGTTCATCATAGACATGTCGAATTTCGCATTCTTCTGTTCTTCCAAGTCCCTGAATGATGTACCACACAAACCATATCAGGTTTATCAACTATCGACAAGAAAATGGAATTCGAAGAACGCAGCGGCAGTTATACAAACAAAGCATTGTAACCTTAAAACCAGCTAAAAAAATGGATACCAAGTCGAGAAATTCAGCGAAGTACATATATGAACAAGACCAGTAGTATAACTGTCACATACTTTGGGTTTGCATCGCGGAACCTTCCGCCGCCAATAGCTCGTTCGATTTCTATGACAGAAGGCTGCCTCGGCTTGCGTTGTAGCTGGTTTTGCTGCTTCTTTCTTAGAATAGTTGGTGTATTGTTTCTGCTGGGAAGAGGAGGTTTGGTGGTATTGGCTTGGAGAGATGGCGGCGGTGGTGGCGGCGGTGAATCGTTTTTGTCGCTGGAAAGAGAAGCATGGGCAAGGTTTTTGGTTAGGGAAAGGCAAGAGGATAAGCTACACATGGTGGGTGGTGGTGGAGCGTCTCAAATACTGTCTATCCTGCAGTTGGACGGTTATAAGTTAAAAAGTTGGCCGGGTCCAACCGATAAATATCTACAGAAAACTAAAATAATGTAGCAAGAAAACAATCCACAGTTTTACGAAAAGAAAGGGTTTTCAGACCTAAAAAACCGACGAAATTTCATCCCATGGTCATCTCGGGACAGAACTAAACAGGGTAGTGCAGAACGAGAAAAATGATGTCAAAAAATTATTTCCCATTTAACCACCAAAATTTTTACATTCCTGTGCTTGTACAGAAGGGCAAGGAGCTTGATTACAATCCGTACATATACTAACGGCATCAGCTGCCCCAGTACAAAAGTATGCTCTCCACGGGAGTTACCTCGCCCTTCAATTTAAGGGTAGATTCGTAGCTTTAAGTATGGCAAAAATGGAAAAATTATCTCATAACCATAAGGTTTGGCAGCGTCTCCTTATGTAGGTAGAGTCCTCAGCAAATGAAGTGCCCGGTTCCACTGTGGTCTTTGTGATAGGACAATTCTCCTCAAAACGGGAACTGCTCCGGCAACTACAATTGCTGAATGATTCTCACTGTCCATGCTCAGATTATACAGTATCGCCAAGCTTGCTTCAATGGCCCTCTCACTCCCTTCTTCAATCAGTTTGACCAACAGAAATACGCCTCCTTCGGAAGCAATGGCTCGAGTGGAATCAACCACCCCTTCAGAGATTATTCTGTTGAGTTCTACAACTGCAGCTTCCTTTTCTTCTGGAACGAATGAGGTTTTTAGCTGCTCCATGAGTCTTGGAATGGTCTGGTGGAGAGTTACTTCCATGTTGATTGGGTCCTCGAATTCTAGTCTGGGACGAGAAAGAGAACCAAGTTTCACCAAACAAGCAGCAAACCAATCTTTGTTGTGAAGGGGGATATTAGACTTCAGGATATCATCTGCCGATAAAAAATGGAAGTAGAAGTCTCACCAATTTTGGTATAACACCTGCTTCAACCATAATGCTGTGACTAAAGTGACTTAATGCCAAATTTGCCAACACCCCTCCAGCTGCTTCCTTCACCTTTATGTCCTCATCATCCACGGACTTAACAAGTAATGGCAGCACATCACTGTTTGCAATTTTCTCTCTGAACTTCTCATCAACGGACAAGTTCCACAAAGTACATATAGCTTGCTCCTTCACCTGCAGAAATGTTATAACAACCTACCTCACTTTTCTACATCAAGAAAAATGTGGAAAGCGATTCCACGAGCGAGATACCCATCCTATACCTCAGGATTCAAAGACGGTCGATTTAGCAAATCCGTTATCTCTTCAGTTGCTCCACTCTGCCAGCACATCTCTATACAAATTAACAAGGGATATCGATCTTAAAAGTCCAGCGGCAGCTTCACACGCAGAACTGGATTCCGACCTCAGCAAGTTTACAATCAGGTTTATGCAGCCAGGAAACTGCATAATGGCATCAACATATTGCTTCCCTCCAAGTGAGTATTTCCAGAGTGCCACTATAGCCTGCTCTCTATCAAGGGAATCATTGGCCAGACCGAGCATCCGAATAAACAAGCCGACATACCCGTCACCCAAAGAACTACTCTTTATCTCTTTAGTGTCCTACAAATCAAAAGTGGCGAGAATCAGATTATCAAAGTCCACATTTCATCCTCATGAAATATAATTTTGTGGGTTTTAATCCTTATGAAATATAATCTTCTGGGATGAATCTTAATGAAACATATTAACGACCAAAAAGATTAATTCTTGATAATAAATGGACGAAATTGAAAACTTACAGTGGGTGGTTTATACTGTTGTGGGGTGGCATCAGCCGCACCGCCGCCGTCGCTACCGCTGACCCTTGTGAGAAATTGGCGGCGGGAGAATGATTTGAGGTTGAGGCATTGGGAACAAATTGAATGGAAGAATAGTGCTTTCCTTCTGTTTCTGGGTCTGGTGGGTTTAGCTGCAATGACTTCCATGTGGGTGTTTGAGATGCAGGGTGAGGACTGGTGGAGATGAGGCGGTTTCACCGTTAACGGCGGTTGGACTGCCGAGGCCAACATTTTTACCTGATTGAGGCAGAAATTGGAAAGTTGCAGAGTTGCAGAGTTGCAGTGAGCTTTTGGGGTTTAGAAGAAGCTTTTCCAGTTGTGGGTTCTATTCAAGACTCGATCTTTAAGCCTGTCTGGGGTTTTGGGGTTTTTTTGTTCTTTTTTTGTTTTCTTTTCTGGTTTTTATATTCATTTCTCGTGGTAAAAGTAGAGCGAAGATTCTCGTTTGATTCTTTTTGTGAAGATTTTAAGGATCTTTCAATTACATTTGTTTATCGTATATCATCGTACGATGTTCAATGAATATATGTGATTGAATGATCTTTATATCATCACAAAAAGAATCTAACAAGATTCTCCTGGTTAAAAGTATAAATTATAAGTTTGATAACAAATTATTATTTATCATGTATTTTAACTTCATTCGTCAATAAATGCCATGCATTTTCTGCCAAGAAACTCAGACCTTAGGGATAAGAAAACAGAAAAACAAAGAAAGAGAGCTCTAAAATGAGCTGCTCATTCAGCTTCCAAATTCCTCCGGCGCTGCCTTCTCTCAGCCGTTCCCGGCGTTCTTCTCTTCCAGTCACTTCCCAACACAGACATGCCATCAATGTCAAGCCTGAAAAGGCACAAGCTTTCTTTCTCAATCTCCAATTTCCATTCTAAAAAAATTATCCAGATCGTTAAAAGGATCCGAACTTTTTCCTTTTCAGATCAGTCAAAAGCCAACCGACTATTCCACCTGAAGAAATCTAGCTTGGCAATTCAAGTTGGAGAAGGTTTGGCCACTGTAAGCCACTCATCATCTCTGCTTCTCCTAATCTTGCTTATCCTTTAAACTTAAAAAGTATTTCCGTTCATAGAAACGCTTTTTGAAGAAGCATTCCCAACTGTATATCTGGGAAGCATTTGGATTTTTGATATAAACTTGAATGTGTTTTTAATAAAAGCAATTTTAACGTATGTGCGTGTGAGCGTAAGTGTTTTCTAAATAAGCGTTCCCAAATGGGCCTAATCATGAACTGTCTTAGCAGATTGAGCAGCCTGCGTTTGCTGTCACTGGTATAAACTACGAGGAAGATTTGACATGGGTTTTAATACAGTCAGGAGTTGTTGCCTTCTGGTACTTCCTTATCATGCCAGTAAGTACACGTCTCCTTATTTTTGTACTTTCTTTGTGACATGCCACGGAGCTTTAAAGAAAAGCACTTTTGTGTGATTGCAGCCAATCATCATGAACTGGCTTCGGATTAGGTGGTACAAGAGAAATCTCCTAGAGATGTACTTTCAGTTCATGTTTTGTCTTCTTGTTCTTCCCTGCGCAAGTGCCCCTTTTTTAATCATCTCATTTGGTTTCTTCTTGATTATCCTAAACAAACCACCAAAATTTGGGGAAGTGATTCCGCACACTTCTGCTTATTTCTCGTCTTCGAAATGAAATCAAAAGTGAGTCGAAATACAAAATGATGAAAGAAAAATGAATTGTAGGGAAATCATTTCTCCAAATTTGAGTTATTGAAAAGCAGACGTGGATTCCTGACCAAATAAAAGCCGGGTTTCTAAAGTACCCATTTGCAGAACCTGAAGAGTCCTCATAGAAAATGCAGATCCTCTATAAGCTTTGCTTCTTGTAGTACATATGTATTTCCGAACGCTGCGGCGGATGCAGCTGAACATTTACAATGTTATACCTCAATGACACATTTGATACATATGAACTTAAATCCAGAACTCTAATGAATATGATGAAGAATCAAACCTTAAATTCAAAATTCCTTTTCAAATGAAACACTAATCCGAGAATACATGTTTCTATCGGTCTCTGACTTCTCATAAACATATTGCTGGTATTTGTAGATGTTAGCGGTGAATAACTTAAAACGGATCTAAATAAACATGAAAGCTGAACCGAAAACAAAAAACTCAAACCAAATCAAACCTTCAAGCAAGTATTGACCTTCAACTACGTCTAGTTCTGTATCCCGTCGGGATAAAAGTATAAATAGAACTTCCTGTTCGTCGCCACCTTATTCTGGAGTAAATTAGCAGAACTTTTCTTCATCATACTCTATTTTGTAAGAGAAATAAAAGTCGGTACTTTGCACCATCGGCTTCTAAACCAGCTTCGCTCGTCCAGCTAATGAAAGATTCTCGGAACTGGAAATCACAGTTCATTCGAAGAAAGAGCTGATAGTCAAGCTGACAGTCGCTGTTAGTTTTTTCAACTCCGATTCCCAAGACTCTACGTTTGGGGACATGACAGCAGCACCAACAGCCAAGGCAACAACAGCAAGGGCCACAGTTTTCTTGCACCCGCTTCCCCGTGATATCTTCCCCAATAATGTCTTACAATACTTGTCTGCTTCCTTGTTGAGCTTTTCTTGGCGTGCATCCTCTGCCTCACCAGCCAATGCCTTCTCATTCTACAAGCATACAACAAGTTATAGTTTGCCCATAGCTAAATCATCTATAAGTTTTGGTAAGATAATGAAATCCAAAAAAAAAATGTTACCTTGCGACTAAAACTTTTAAGAGCTTCCCTCATAGGATCAAAAGGAGACAGATTTGCAGAATGTTCTTTCCATTGGTTAGAAAGTTTCTTCAGAACAGCAACACTCGCTTCTAAGTTTTCCTCATAAACCTTGTCCTGTTACCATTTGATGCACAACACAGAAATCAGATTGATATATTCACTAACGGTGCAGTTTCAAACCCCAAAGATGAATGCAACGATGCTAATGAGAAGTAGAACATCTCACCCACTGCTTAAAGCAATCAGCATGTTGGGTCAAACACCAAATGAAAATTCCAGCTGCTTCATCGGATAGCTCTGGTATACCTGTGAGAGACAGAATTATCTCAATCCCATTTTATGAACCTACGATTTCTCCCTACTTAGGAAACAAAAACTTCAATACAAAGGAAGTCAAAACAAATTTACGTACTTTCTCCTGCAGCTTTGACAGCAAAACTCAACATCTGCTGTGAAACTTGTTTCATTGCTTTGCTTCCAGGGGCGCCAGCTAGAGCGACCGCTTTTAGGGTTGGATATATAGCCTCAAACCTTTCGGTGGCCTGTAAAAATATCGTGCTTAAGTACAGTGCAATAAAATAAATTAAGTGAATCTTCCCTTAAAACTAATTACCTTTACTCTAGCTGAATGTGCAGGAAAGGTAACTCCCATAAGTATCTCCAATGCAGAAGGTGGCACCAAACGCTCCCCCTTCCTAACAGCACTATTTACTAAAATAGTACGAGCTTTGGGCATAGACAGAATTCTGCAACCAAAGTAACAAATTTCAGTGTTGAAGAATGTAAAGGCAACCAAAAATGTTCGAAGCGATAACCATCTTTTAATACCTCTCCACTAGCTGCAAAACAAGGTCTCGGGACTGTGGATTACTACTTTTTCCACAGACTAAAGGCAACACATTGCGTGCCCATGCATGCAACGCAACAGCGAGGTCCCCTTGACTAGCCTAAACAAGACATATTTGACATCGATTAAATTTAACATTAACATAAGAACTAATGTTCTTTTTTCCATGAAGAAAGATCGTTAAAACCAGTATTATATTGTTAACCACTTACTTGAACTATCATCCATATAGTTACTGGAAGCTTATCTTGTCCTTGATACTTTGAATTTTCTCTCAGTGCTGGCAATATACTAATCAAGACATCGGGTCTTCTACGCAATACCATTGCTACAACCACAAATATTGCAACCTGAGATTTCAACAAAGTTCAAGTTTTTATCAGCAGTCAACAAGTACGTATTTGTGAAGGTACAATCGCAGATTGTACCTTAACATTCAGTGATTGTACCTTAACATTAACACTGAATTTATCAACCAATTCCTGGACAAGTAAAAGATGAAAGTGAGGAGAGGGGAAATACCTGAGATTTTGAAGACACATTCTGCACAGCCTTCTTGCCCTTCGTGCCAGAAACTTGGCTCGCTAGGTCTGCAAGAATGCTTTCTAAGGACCATAATATAAAAGACCCAAGGGCCTCAATGGAACGCTGGTTGATCCAGTCAACTGATGTCTTATAAACAGTTTCAGAAATATGAGAAAGGGGGATCTGTTAAAGAAAACAGCACTAAGTGATTAGGTCGTCCAGGAGCATGCACACTCAAATTGCTTCCACCAATAAGTTATTACGCCCCATAAAATAGAGGTCACAAGCCAGAGACTAATTATCTATCTTGCAAATATCAACCTTATCATCACATGTATGTATATTAGAATAAAACGTTCTTTCAACAAATTATAACATTATCCACCAACCGATTCACCTTTGAGGCCATAAATACCACCTCTACCATTACCAGAAATAATACGCACAATTGTTTTCGGTAAGAAGTGAAATTATATTCAGAAGGAAGTATGCTGAAAATCGTAGGAACGATACGAAGAAACCCCAAAAACAACAGACAAACAGCTTTATTCGACTATATATCCAAAGAGAAAAGCTTTCCACGGAATTTTGATCTCATTAATATAAATGCCATTAGTAATATTGAACAGAAAAAAGCCATTATGCACAATGGTAATGGTTCACAAGCAATTCAACCCCGAAAACAGATATTCGACCTTTTAATCAATGCATCAGGTATATAAATGAATAAATTTCAAACTTACATCGGCAAGCTTGGCCACCGATGACTCCTTGAACATCTTCACCCATGGAAACTGAGAGGCAGACACCGCAGAGAATGCGCGGCCGAAATAGTCCGCAAAACGCATCAGCTGTATGTCCTCCTTCGACTCGTATGAAGCCTATTGCAATTCACAATCCCCAAATTAATTCAAAATTTTGGAAATTTAAATCGCATTCAATTGAAAACGAATAGATCAAGCTAGATCAGAGCATAAAACTCACCGAAATGTCAATGAGGAATGCCTCGAGATCGTTTGTCTCGTCGATCTTAGCGGCCGCCTCAGCCACCGTGACCTTAGGCTTCTTCGGCTTCTTAGGCTTGGATTTCTTCGCCTCCTCGGTCTTCACGTTCTGCGCCGCAGCTTCGTCATCGCTATTATCCCCATCCTCGTCGTCAGACCTGAGCTTCGATCTCGCCGGAGCAACATCGTCAAGGTCGACATTGGCCCTCTGAGCTTCGAGAATCCGCCGGCGCCGGTCCTCCGACTGTTTCTCCAGCGATCGGAAAACGCCGTTTCCGTTGGCGTTCGCGACGCCGGGGACCAGCTTGTTCTGATTGTTAATTGTTTCCGCGTTCGATTCCTTCTTCTTCCTCGGGCGCTTCGCGGTGACCTTCTGCCAACCGTGGTCGTTGTTGGTGGTGGTATGATGGGTACTGTAATCATTGACGGCGGTGGATGCGGCGTCGTAATGGTCGCCGTTCCCGATTGATTCGAAAGCTGCAGCTTGATCTTCTTCCATGATTTGATTTGGTTGTCCGTGTTGAATTTTCTCGGGAAAATTGACAGAAAGAAATCGGAACTGAGAAAATCGAGAGAGCGACGGAGAGAGGAATTGAAGTTCGGTTGGTGGTAGTGAATTTAAGGGCGTTGACTGGATGAATCTGACCCTTGTTTTATAAAGGAATTACATCATTACCAACCGTTTGGATTTTGTATTACCAATTTGAAAATAACCAGTAAATTATAAATCAATTAGTCCTAATCTTATTCTTTGTCGGATCAAATTATCCCTAATCCGAAATTAATAAGAATTTGTATACCATACGAACTCTTGTTGTTGAAATTTTATGAGTTGTATAGTTTAATAATTTTTTTAAGTAAAACATATGTACGTAAATTACTTCCACGAAGTGTTCTTTTGAATGTGTTGACCCTAAAATCTACCAAGCCTACGTGGCGCGCAGGCCGAGTATTTTCTAAGCTAACTACGTCCTTCGGTGATTGCGGGGCGTGCCAACTCGTCGGCCGAGCTCGGCCGAGGAGTAAATTTGATGATGTTGCGTTGAGCGCGCTGCTGACTTCTGTGTCTTGCGATTGCGGCCGAGGAAGGAACAATTCTCGGCCTCTTGGGTTCTAGAGCCTGAAGACAAGGCTGCTAATTTGCGAAGTTCAATCTCAAATTCGGCTGTCAATGTGCCGAATACAGTAACCTGGTAACACCCCACTTCGCCGAGAAGGCTGATGAGATGACCTCGACCAATGAGGATTCGGAAATCCTTCTCGACCGAGACTTGGATAGGTAACCAGTCGTCCTCGCCGTAGTGCTGTTGATGCCAACGGAAGATGCTGCGAGATCGGCTGATTCTACGGTGACAGAGCTATCTATGCCGACTTAAGATATCACCGGTTGCCTTCACAGTGCTGTTGATGCCAACGGAAGATGTGTCGGCGAAAAAAGAAAATAAAAAATCTCAAGGTGTTGAGAAAGTTTGCGCAGGGCAGTTTTGTGTGTGTTGGAGGTCTCTTTGAATGATGCACAGCCTCCTCTATTTATAGCACTAGATACCTTTGAAGTCGAGTCAAAACCCTACTCGAACTAGGTCTTCTTCTCCTGATCAAACACCCACTCGACCAGTCCTATGTTTACTAGGATTGTGAGCCTAGTCCTCTATTGA